ATAGATAGATACATAGATACATAGATAGATACATAGATAGATAGATACATAGATAGATAGATACATAGATACATAGATAGATAGATACATAGATACATAGATAGATAGATACATAGATACATAGATAGATACATAGATAGATAGATACATAGATAGATAGATAGATACATAGATAGATACATAGATAGATAGATACATAGATAGATACATAGATACATAGATAGATACATAGATAGATAGATACATAGATAGATAGATAGATAGATAGATAGATAGATAGATAGATAGATAGATAGATAGATACATAGATAGATAGATAGATAGATAGATAGATAGATAGATAGATAGATAGATAGATAGATAGATAGATAGATAGATAGATGACAGTAGATGATAAAATGATGGATAGATGGATGCATAGGTAGGTGATAAATTATAGACAGACAGACAGACAGACAGAAGACAGGGGTGCGAGGACGGTCAGGTGCAGCTGTGTCGCTGTGGCCCTGGGGTGGTGATGGAGGACGGCGTGTCGAGCCAGGCTGCAGACAGGGTTTTGGCCGAGGGCCCGCGGTCAGCACCTTAATCAGCACGACGTGCGTGCATCCTCTAGAAGCTTGGGCAGGAGCTGCCCCTGAGCCTGGCGGAGCTGGAGGCTGTGTTCAGCGCCCTGGACGCCGACGGCGATGGCTTCCTGACTCCGGAGGAGTTCACCACCGGGTTTAGTAAGTTCTGGGGGTTCGGGGTCCCCAGGGGTCTGAGCCCACCCAGAGCACAGAAGCGCAGGGCTGTGGCTGCCACGCCCCCACCTGCTCAGCTCAGCACCCCTGTGCCCAGGGCCCGAGGAGGGCAGAGGGCGGGGAGGGGGGAGGAGGGGGAGGAGGAGGGGGGAAAGGAGGAGAAGAAGAAGAAGAAGAAGAGGGCGGAGAGGGGAAGGGGGAGGGGGAGGAGGAGGGGGGAAAATAGGAAGACAGGAAGGCCGGAGAAGTTCTCAGCTGTAAGCAAATGAGACTTTTACCTCATGAGCTTAAGGACTATTTAGGCAATGAGGAGAGAGGAAGGAGGGGAGGAGTTTGCACGAAGCTGCGATTAAAATCAAGAATTAAAAAATACTGCTCTTGACAGATTTGTCAGGGGACCAGAGGAATAACCTCAAATCAAACCTCAGTTGATCCAGATCGGAAATAGATTTAAACCAGCTCCCTAAAGCCTGGACAGGTTTTTTAATCAAAAACCTGTGTTTAAGGTTTCTTTTGTTAAAGAAATGCCCTTCCTTGATGTAACACCAGAACCTCATTAAATTGCAAACACTGGACTATAAAAGATGGAGAGGGAGCTATTCCACTTCAACTGCGGCCCTTCTCCACACATTGCCCCAGAAGGACAATGAGTTCTAAAGGTCAGGGTTACATATGTCATGGTAAGTGGTTTTTCTCCTTCTAACATGAAGCAGGCAGAGAGAGAGAGAGAGAGAGAGAGAGAGAGAGAGAGAGAGAGAGAGAGAGAGAGAGGGAGAGAGAGAGAGAGAGGGAGACAGAGAGAGAGGGAGACAGAGAGAGAAAGAGAGAGAGAGGAAGAGAGGAAGAGGGAGGGAGCTCAAACACTAGTCTCCTTCAAGAATGAAAAATAAACTTTTTCCCTCCTGCAGGAAAAAAAAATCCCCCAAAGAAAAATGGAAAGCTGCTAACTAGTTGTCTAGCTGTCTATTTGTGGACATTGCCTTTCATCTTGTCATATCTTTTGTGCTGTTTGAAATGTTTGGAGCTTAAGAGTGGAAGAACACTCAGTGGAATCCAAACTTTTATTAAAAGAAAGGAAGAGGGAGGCAGCAAAGTTCTGACAACAAGTGTGTGTTTAGATGTCAGGGCCAAATTCTGCCCATATACCAAGCAGAGGGAGCAATTTATTTTTAGCTAAATGAAGCAAAGAACACACTTCTATTTAAAACACACACACACACACACACACACACACACACAAGATAATGCATAGGAAACCACCCTCTTTTGTGGAGAGGCTGCAGAGATACACAAATGGACCTTAAGAAGGGACTGGAGGAGAGGGGCCTCCTTCCCCGGCTTGGCCTGAGTCGCTTTGTGCTGCTCCATTGGAATGCTAATTTTGGCTCCATTGTCCCTGAGAAGCCACTCTGCTCTTTCTCCTGGGAAGCCCTTTCTGGCTCTCCTGTCTTTGGTGGTCTTCACCAGCTGCTTCTATTAGTTTAGAGCCTCAGGAGATTTTATTTCCACAAATGTGGTTTGGCCCATCTCTCTTTTCTTTATTTGATCAATTCTTCTATTTGATTTTCATTCCTCCCTCCATTCTTTGACAGGGGTTAGACCACCAGATTATGGTCTCCTTGTCAAAATTCGAAAGCCAAACTGGGCTGTCACCAGGATCCTGGGGCTTTTGCCTTTGACATCCATTTAGGAAGGAATGGAGATGGAAATCTTAGCAGGAGAATCTCTTCAGGGACTCTGATTTTCCTTTCAAAGAAATCATGTCTTAAATTAAAATAAATACCTAAACTTCAGATGAGGCCTTGGAGAATCAACAGAGGGCCCAAGTCTTTGTTTCTCTGTCTGTCTGTGCATGCCATAATTAAAGAAAAGAGCTTAGGGAATTATCTACCGCTTAGTTTTTATCACCAGTTTTCTTTTCAAACTGGATACTTAGCATGACGCTCAGAAAGTGCATTTGAAAGACTTCCCTCATGCCCATGATATGCTGTAGCACTGACAGATGGACAGAAGCTGGAGTGGCAGATGGACTATGCTTGTTCATGTCCTGAAATACCAGCAGCGTTTGGTTTGCACATCTCTGCAGTCCTGGCAGCTTTTTACCTAGAATTACAGTGGGTCATGGTCTCATTTTTCCCCCTCATGCACCAGGAGTAACTGGAGCAGGATGACAAGGTAGTATGATGGTCAGCCAAATCTGGCTTCGGCTGCACCTTCTCTCAGCTTCTGTTTCCTCATCTGTAGATCAAACACAGCTTTCCCAGATAGAATAGCATTGGGGATTAGGCAGCTCATATGTATACATATATACACACACATACATATATATGTATATACACCTATATTTTATTTTTTATTTTTGGGTCCGGTTGTGGGGCCTGAACTCTGGGCCTGGGTGCTGTCCCTCAGCTCTTCAGCTCAAGACTAGCGCTCTACCACTTGAGCCACAGCGCCATTTCCGGCTTTTTTCATTTTGCTTATATGGTGCTGAGGAATCGAACCCAGGGCCTCAGGCATGCACGGCAAGCGCTCTACCACTGAGCCAACTTCCCAGCCCCTTAGAATGTTTTTGTATGTAAAATTTACTGACA